TGGTCCGATCCCTTGTGTATATACACACATAATATATTCCATGCCGATGGCTCAGAGCGATATGCCGCTGATGGCAGACCGACGCGTGTGCGCATCAAGCTAATTAATTGCGAATTAATTAGCCGCGTGTGGCCAGAATTGCGGAGGTAATGTGCACCACCCGTATATCTCGTTGAGAGGGAGATCGGTATATATATATATAAAATCCAGAGCCAGGTGCCCGTGACTAACGAGCTGTTGCAAGCAGTGTGCGTGCACACCCGTACACTTATGTTTACGGTACGGGCACATATTATATACATGGACACAAGAGTCCGGCGTTCGCCGATGCAGAATCTCTCGACGCAGGGGAGTTCTCTGGAGCCCCGTTTTCCATTATCTTTTCGGTGCACGTGGATGCGTCAACTCTCGAGATCACGGATGGAAGATATATGAAATTCGATCGAGCACCTATTGTGGAACACTATGCACAAGGATGGATGTATATATACGTGTAATTTTCAATTCGCCTTGATCTTTTCTTTAAAAGATCCGTTGTGCACAAACACTTGAGATTAAAATGTATGATTTTCCAAGATATTTATGAATAAACGTTGATCTGATTCATCGTTAGCCGCCTGTGTTTCCATTATCCGTACTGTTTTCGGTATTTTGTAGTCATACATTTTCATATGGCTCGTACATTGAACTAAAGCTGAGATTTTTTCTTTTTCGGCTAATCATCGATTTGATTATGCAGTTTGTTTGTCCGCACTTCCAACGTGATTCGCGCAAAAGCTCGCAAGCTCCAGTTTTCTCGATCCATTGACCCAAAAAAAAAAGAGAGAGAGATTAAAAAAAGAAAATTTAACCATGGAAAGCGCAGCATTGATGCTCGGGATAGCATGAATGCTTGTAAGTACACCCGTACGCGTAAAAAGTAATGCATCTGTTGGCACGAAGACGCAAGCGATTTCGCAGTTTTTTTTTTGTACATCGTGCATAATATGAAAGTAGGTGTAGGACAACAGCTGCTGCGAGTGATATAAAAAAAAAAAAAAAAATGCGGCGCCGCGCGTTTTCTCCCCGCAAGCAATTTATAATAAATTCTCCTCTTTCCATTTAAAAACGACAAACGCTCGCGGTGCAAAAGAAATCGGCCTGCAAAGGTATATGTGTGCGCGCGTAGAAACGGCAGCTCGTTAAATCGCGCGGTGGACAAAAAAAAAAAAAAATGTACAAGCCCAGCGTTGCATCGTCGAAAGTTTGCCGAACAAGCGCATTATATTTGTACACGCGCGTGCATGGATATACAACAAGCAATAACCCACTAAAGGTGTCCCAGAATGGAAACCTATGGATGAGATTTTGCGTGCCGAGAGTATATATTTGCACGCATGGAGGTTTGGTGGAAAAAAAAAAAAAATTCACGTTCGAGTGGATCCGTGCTGTATGTGTGTTCCACTTTTTGCGCAGATTTCGCTCACGTGCGCATAATGTAAGAATCAGTCGGATGGCGAGCTTGTGGTCTCTGGGATCCAAAGGGGGAAAGATATTAAAAAATGCGGGCTAATTTCGATAAATATAAGGTCTTAAGCTCGTCCTTTCAAGTAAAATAACTCTGATGCGCCGTCGTCGTTGTTTGCCGGGCACTTTGTGAGACATCACCGTCGTATACAGGCGAAGAGTATACCCGAGTCAACGTTTAATCATACCTTTGAAAAAAAAAAATACTTACTCAAGCGACGTTTCTCCGAATCTTTTTTTCCACTCGTTTGCTCCTTTACTTTTTGTGTTCGCACCCTGTTGTTGCGCGGTGCATCATATATATTTAGGGCATCATCATCTTCGCCGTTGATTATTACACGCGAAAGTTACCGATGGAACCGTTAAAAGTGCAAGTCCCAGCCTTTCGTTTGTTTCTCTCTTCGCGTGCAACCCGCACATGTGCACGTAATTCATACTTTTAGGTCAAACGATATTAAATCAACACCCGTAGATATATATATATATATATATATATATACACACACACTTACTTGCGCAGCTGAGACGATGGTTTACTGCATGTATATTTAATCGTTGCGCTGCCTTTTATTCGCTGATTATCCATCGGAGTGTTAATGCAAGAAAGTTATGCAGTAGGACACGAAGCGCAACAACTTTCCATACATAGATATGGTTTTTTTTTTTTAAAGGATTTTTCTGGCGTGCCACGGAAAAAGTAGCGACAATAAGATTAAAACTACACATGCGCTCAAGGACGACAAATCGACGATTTTATCGGACGTCAACAATGTTACCCAATTGCCGCTAATTGGTAATGAAAAATTTATACCGATCAGTTTCCCCCCTCCCCCCCTTTTTTTATTGTGTACAGACTTCCACGATCGTACGGTCGTTTAGGTACGACTCTTTAATGATGATCTCCTCGAATTCGTACTTTTACTGATGCAATGCCACGTTTATACGTTGAAACACACGATTGTTCCCGTTTTCAGAAACGTGTGTTACATACCGGCAATTACAAGGATCGGTAAGTAGCTATTATCGGCCTCAAAGCGATCGCTTGCAATCGATGACGTAGCTCGATGTACAATATACCGATCCTTCATTTCCCGCGATCGGCAGAGCGAACGAGTTCCAACGAAAAACGAGGGATGGACGAAACAGTTATATGTACTATTGTTACATTATCAACGAGACCATCATTCGATTTTCCAATGAGTTGCACGTGATTGTTATACCCCCGATGCATGGAAACAAGTACACCCCATCTCTCGTTTCTCGCTGTGGTATGCATCACGAGCGACAACGTATGACAGCTATGACTAGCATCATCGCCGGCAAAAAAACACCAACCGAACCGTTAATCGGGTAATCGATGGGGAAACGATTATCACCGTCGCAGGCCATCCACCATCGAGGCTGTCAATTACAACACGCCGCGTGCGACATGATTGGTTAGCTCGTCCTTGTTTTTTTGTCCCCGACGACGACGCTTCGCCAACTCGTCCACGCGCTCTTTGTGCCACTGGCGCTGACATTCTTTGGAAATCGCGTGATGCACTGCTGCGTGTTACATATAAGTGTATGCCCAGTCGAGCTAAACGAGTTTTCGTGATGCTCGTGGCAAAAAAACAACAAGCTAACAACAAGTGGCTTTACACGTGCTTTTGACGCCTATGCGTCTGACTTTCTGGATCACTTTGTTTATTGTTCTTTTCGCGGATCATCCGCGTGACAATTGACGATATAGCGGTAGAGAGAGAAATCGTTCGATCGTATGAAAAAACAAAAAAAAAAAACAACAACAAAATGTATATTATACATACCCTCGGTAACGAAGTATGTTATAAAGCAAGCGCTCGTAGGAGATTATTTTTGGACGATCGCGGCGTGTTGATAAACGATAAAAATTGTTTAGCATAGAATAAAAGCTTGGGGGGGGGGGAGTGAGGCACGCGATGTATATAGGCATATCTATATTGTTCATGTAACGAAAGAAAGACAATGCGAGTACCGCGCGTCCCGTTTTTTTTTTTTTTTTCCTTTTTTTCGGGGCTGCGCGGGAAAAAAAAAAAAAAGCTTGGGGGGGGGGGAGTGAGGCACGCGATGTATATAGGCATATCTATATTGTTCATGTAACGAAAGAAAGACAATGCGAGTACCGCGCGTCCCGTTTTTTTTTTTTTTTTCCTTTTTTTTCTTCTTTTTTACGTAACAAATATGCTTTTACCCGCAAAATGTATCGGGTTATTTGAAGAATTTTCACGCGTCTCTCAGTCAAAGTAACGAGGTTTCGGGTAACGTGTTTTTACTTTTAATTGGAAGAAAAAAGAAGAAGAAGAAGAATTTATATATGCTACTACCCCCAAGGAGCGGTTAATAACTCGCCCACGACTCCGTTGGCCAGCTGTCTCCCTACCGATGCACGAGCATGATGGAAAAAAAAGGAAAAGTATACAAAAGAAGGGCCAACAAAATATTCGCCCGGTTGTATCGTATGTACTCCATGCGCTTCACTCACCGGGCGAAAAAAAAAGTATACCTGCAGCATCGCAAAGTAAGATGAAAAAAAAAGAAAAATCCTTCCCCTGGAGATCGGGGGGCTGCAAATTCGCGGAGGGTCCTCCGATGACGCGAGCAAAAGGAGGGCCCCGAAAAATACAAAAAAAAAAACTACTTATGAGCGAATAGCGTGCTGTCGGACAGACAGCGGTAGCATCGGCAGCTACGACGACGACGAGGACGTTGAGGATACTGTCCCAGCGGTCGGCGGGATNTCTTTCCACGTGGCAATTTGTCGAGCTTGATAAGAGGTTTTATGGCGCGTGTCGGGTTTGTTGTTGATCCGTGCAGCGGAGGGAGCAGCTTGCTTTTTGCATCCTTCCGAGAGGGCGTTTTTAACGCGATGTAGGCCGATTTACTTATCTTCCAGCAATACAGTAGTTATGTATTAAAGTGCTCGTTGTTGAGAGAAAAGAGAAGGACATTTTTTTTTTTTTCTTTTTCTATCCTTACTTCCAAGTGTTGAAATATATCATTTACGGGTGCCATAGAGAGTCGTACAACAATTACGAGATAGTATTCAATGTTGCCCCATAGTGTGCAACGTCAAGTGTCGGCTACTTTTATACAGCAGAGCTTTTCGAGTGTTGCGACGCTTATAAAGTAATAACTGATACAAAACGAAAAACAAATCACATTATTATCATTTAAGATGTGTATAATTATCGTTTCGCAGCTTTTTGTCCTTTTTCTTTTCTGTTTTTTTTTTTTTTTTTTCCACTTCATTTTTGTGTTCTACTGTTATGTATCAAGTATGTGGGTACTACTTACTTTACCTTACCTTTGTTTTTTGGTTTTTTTTGTGCAGACAATGACAGCTTACGAATTATTTTCGAATAATCGCGCGCTCTGTCTATAGCTCCGTCTCTTTAAAAAAAAAAGTTGTCTGCTCCATATTCGCACCCTCCCCCCACGTGTTGTTTGTTTACCTTTATGGTGTGTGGTTGTTTTCTTTTTTTATACAATTGTGTGTATATATATAGAAGACTAAACGCAATTGGTATTTATTAACAGTATTAACACTGATTGGTAATGGAGGCGATCAGGGTAATCTGCCTGGACAGTTACCAATCTGCGCCGATCATGGACGTCGATCCGATTTTTTCACAATTTCGCGGCAGCGAGATCAAACAAGTTCCTGTTTTGCGTATTTTTGGCATAACGCTTGGCGGTAATGAAAATTTGTTTGTTTAATTGTTTTTTTTTTTTTTTTTTTTTTTTCCTTCTAAAATTGAACTCGTTTATATGGTGACATAAACGTTATCAAAACGTGTAGCAAGCAAATGTGCACAAATTCCTAGAAAATTGCGTGAACGAGACTAATTAATTTTTTTAGGTGAAAAAGTATGTCTTCACATTCATGGTGTTTTCCCCTACATGTACGTGCCCTACATGGGACACGTCAATCCGGACATTCTAGCGTATCGCCTAGCTGAAGCTCTGGACACGGCACTCAATGTTTCCTTGGGATCTGCCAACTCCAAAACACAACACATTTATAAAATACAACAGGTTTCAGGAATGTATGCATCAATCTCAAAAATCAAAAATTGATACTATTGTAAAATGTGTATGCAATATGTAGCTGTAATCTGTCATTTTGTTTCAGACCTTTTTATGGCTATCATTTAAAAAAACATCACTTTTTTAAAATTTATTTCTACAATCCTGCCATGGTCAAGAAAGCAACGAATTTACTATATGTATGAATAACGTTAATTTTCAAAGTATTGTTTTTGTTTTTTTTATTTAGCAGTTAATATATCATTTCATTACAGAGCGGGTCTATTCTTGATCAGACTTTTCAACCTCACGAAGCTCACATACCATACACCATACAGTTTATGATCGATTATAATGTTTATGGTATGAGTACTATAAACCTGAAAAGTGTGAGACATAGGTACAGTGCTGGAGCTGTAGAAAATAAAGACCAACTATCCCGTGATTCCGAAAATACCCTCAACTTTGAATCGGACGAGAAACAATATATGCCGTTTTCGGTCACAAAACAGAGTGTCTGCAAAATAGAAATAGATGCTTGGGCATCTGACATTGGCAACAGGGACGTCATTGATAAAGGAATAGATTTGAACCCAGGCATCGCTGCAATTTGGCAGGAGGAGAAAGCTAGAAGAGCTCAAGCTGGCTTGGGTGGAGATTCTCAGCTGACACCCCCAAAGAGTCCTGAAAGATCTCAGGCAGCGAATTTCATGACAGACAGTGATCTGTATCACCAGAGTAGATTAGTTCAACGGCTATCTATTCTTGAATCACAAGTATTACGATAGTTTTTTCGAGTAACTTTTCAATTGAGTCGCGTTTGATTTTAATTGAAAATTTATTTTAGGGAGATGAAAGTTCTATCTCACTCAGCACAGAAAACACATCGTATCCAGTAGCTGTGCCGGATCATAGTAAATTATTGGACGCTTCTCAACTGGAAATTCACGCAGGCCCACTGGACACGAGTATTGCCGAAAAATCTCAGGGATTTTCAAGTCACGATGTAAATAACGAATTAATATTGTCACAGTCCAAAGCTTCTTTTGGAAACTTGACATTGGATAGCAGCGATCGTAAGTTTCAAAGAATCACTTTTTTTACATATGTCTCTATGAATTAAAATGAACCTTTTCTTCACTTATTTTTAGTTGATTTTGTGGATGTACTAGTGAATTTAGACCAAGAAGACGGTTCCAATAGTCAAATCGATAACAATAGTATTCTTGGATCTCAAGCATCTCAAAGACAATTTTCAAATTTTCCGTTCGAGCAGGATAACGAAGAGGATGATGAAGAGGAAAATGAAGGAACACCTGATTTGAATCTCACCACTTTAGACTTGGATGCTTTTAATTTCAGTTCTTGGGGAACTTGCGAGGAAAAATCGCAACCCCAAACGCAAAGTTCCAGCGAATCCCAGATCGGTAAACGTCCCATACATCCTTCCTAAAGTTCAATTCGATTGGAATAAATAAAATCGACTGTGAATTTGCAGAACTCGTGTTGGAATCCTTGACGGAGGCCGCACCGTCAGATTCAACGAAGGACATACCTCAGCTCGACGGTCCCATTGACGAGGAAAACGCGCGTTCGAGTCCACCGCGCAATGAAGAGGACATCGACAAAACGATCGAGCGACGAGAGCACGTGGCTTGCGAGTATAGGCCGTCGTCTGAAGGCCGAAGGTCGTCGATCACAGCAACCCCAAGGAAACGAAAACAAGCGTCGAGCAGCGATGACGACGACTCGAGGGATAGCGTTGCAAAGCGACGAGCGACCAGTCGTCTTCCGCGAACTCCTCGGCGAACCCCCAGCAAAAGATCGGACGGTAAAATAACAAGCCCTGGCTGTCCTACGCGCACCTACTCGCCGTTGAATGTCGAGGTAAGCAGTGGCCAGAGGACGCCCAAGTCGTCGCCTTGCGCCTCATCATCGACGAGGACACCTTCTAGGGAAATGGCTCGGATGAATCTGAGTAAAAAGATCATTTTTTCACCAGTTAAGGAGCTCCAGCACGGTAAGATAAAACGGCGATTCATTTCTACAGTTTGTGGTATTTATTTATCTTTTTTTTTCGTTGTCAACTTGAACACAACCATTTGAAAAATGTGAGTAGAGGACGATAACGCAACGTCTACGAATTCGGGGTCTGTAAAACCCGTGTCCAAAACATCCGAGGAGTTGTTCAGTACTGACAAAGACACGTCCGACAGCGACGCCACCTTGGTCGAAGATTCGGACGATTCGCTTGCAACGGTGAAATCATCGCCTCCCGAAAATCTTGTTATCATTAACGAGAGCGATTCCGACGATCCGACGTTTTCGAGAGAAAAGCTGAGCAACTTGTCTCGCTACAGTTTTCCCCATGACATTTTGGATCCAGTTGCAGAGGAAGCATCTCCAGAGGGAACTAACGACGAAACGACCTTCTCTCAGTTTTTGGAGATGAAAGAGATAATGTCGGGTGGCATGCCTTTCGCGAGAAAAATCCCAGATGGGAGTAAAGCTGCAGGAGCGCAGTTATTGTCGCTCAGTCGAGAGTGCGTCATTGAAGCTCTGGAGCAGCACAAAAAACCCAAGCGCGCCAACGTTCAGCCTTTTTTTAGCAAACGAGCGGACGCTGATGCTATGGCACGGCACCCACTGCCAGCTGGCGCGCTGTTCAGAACCAAAGGACCGCCGTCGAGCGAAGAATTTCGCTCGTGTCTCAAGGATGTTTTGGGTGACTGGGGGCAACTCGGAATATCGACCGACGGAGTCGTCACATCGATCGATCCAAAGGATGCAGTGGTCAATGAAATGGTCCAAATCACACCGCTGTTTCTGCCACCGAGTCGCGAAAGCGTCGAGGCCTGGCTGGAAGCTGAAAACCAAAAGGCGAGAGAAGCCGAGAAGAAGAGGAAGGAAGAGAAGGTCAAAGAGTCGTCCCAGAGGTCGGATACTAGCACGATCGTGGACTCACCGTTCGATTTGTCGGTGTACAAGGGCTTTGGCTTCCAGAGCGAAGCGTCCAAACACCTCGGAGTGACTTGCGGACAGATCGAGTTTACTAATCACAAGTCTCCTCTCAACGTCGCTCACGAAAATCTTGGAAACGCGAAGGCACTCACCAATGTAAGCAATTCTGTCGTGCGGTCCAACTCGAATATCGTACTGTCGCTTTGCTCTTGTTTCAATCGACGAATCTTTTTCGCAGCATCAATTTCTGACAGTTTTGTGTTTGGAAGTGCACGTGATCACGAGGCCGAATCTTCTGCCCGATTCCCGATACGATCCGATCGTAGCGATATTTTACGCGATACACAACGACGTGCCCCCAGATTGGAGCAAAGTGAAGCCACTCGAGTGCGGTAAATTGCATATTTTAACATTCCCTATTTGTCCCGTCCTGAAAGCTTTTCGGCAAGTGAAAATACCGATACTGTTTTAGGCGTGATAATAGCAGACTCGAGCAAAGTCGGTTCCAACGTCGCAAGTTCACAGCAGCAATCCTTGACGTACGTCGAGAGCGAAGAGTCTCTGCTCGAAAACTTGTTATCCATCATCGATCGCTGTGATCCGGAAATCTTAATCGGCTGGGATCTGGAGACGCAGTCGTGGGGCTACTTGTTTCAGAGAGCATCGGTGCTCGGGAGAAATTTGAGCGGAAAAATTTCCCGGATTCCCAGTGCAAAGTGCAATTGGGAGACGTCGAACGATCAGGCAACCCAGGAGTGGTACATCGAGACTTTGGCTGAAGTCAAGCTGCCCGGCCGAATTGTGCTCGACATATGGCGAATCATGAGATACGAAATCGGTTGGTGAGATACTTATATTATTATTATTATTCTCTACAAATTCAACGGTCGAAACGCATCGAGTTTTGATTTCTTAAACATGGCTCTTGTCTTTATAGCTTTGACGAGTTACACTTACGAAAGCGTAATGTATCACGTGTTGAACGAGAGAGTGCCGCATTATAGTTTCGATGTACTAACGAGTTGGTGGAACAAGCCCTTGTGCCAGTGGCGCGTCATCGATCATTACACAAACAAGGTACTGGGCATTCACAGAATCCTACATCACCTGGACATCATCAGTGAGTAACAACATCGCGAGTGAAGTTTTTTTTTTTTTTTTTTTTTTTTTTCTTTTTATCTTAATTTATTAAAATTAAATGTCGCAGACCGGACGAGCGAGCACGCCCGACTCTACGGCATTCAATTTTACGAGGTGTTCTCTCGGGGCTCGCAATTTCGGGTCGAATCGATGATGCTAAGATTGGCTAAACCACTGAACTACATACCCGTCTCACCGTCCTCGCATCAACGAGGCTGCATGCGCGCTCCCGAATCGTTGCCCCTCATCATGGAGCCCGAATCTACGATGTACGTCGATCCCGTGGTCGTGCTTGATTTTCAGAGCCTCTACCCGAGTATTATCATCGCCTACAATTACTGTTTTTCCACTTGCTTGGGTCGCATCGACAACATTGGAGCGTAAGGGCAATTTCGTTATGATTTGTTTTATTTTTTTGACATCCAAATACATACACACTTGTTCACGTTGCAGCCCTCATCCCTTCGAATTTGGAGCTACGAACTTAAAAGTACCCAAGAATCTAGCGTTAAAATTACAAAACAAACTGAACTACGCGCCCTGTGGCGTCGCGTACGTCAAAAAAGAAGTACGCGAGGGTATTCTGCCCCGCATGCTCATGGAGATTCTCGACACGAGACTGATGGTCAAGAAGGCGATCAAAGATCACCCGAAGGAAGATCGCGGCTTGCAAAGGGCACTTCATTCCCGACAGCTCGGCCTCAAGCTCATCGCCAATGTCACATACGGTTACACAGCCGCGAACTTCAGCGGCCGCATGCCTTGCATCGAGGTAACTAATATTAGGATTGTCTTGAACCGCATTTGTTTTAATTGGCAATAAATTTCTTTCTCAGGTCGGTGACAGTGTGGTGAGCAAAGGTAAGGAAACCCTGGAACGAGCTATCAAGGTCGTGGAGTCGACGAAAAAGTGGGGAGCGCGCGTTATCTACGGTGATACGGATTCCTTATTTGTCCTCCTGGAAGGGAAATCCAAGGAGGAAGCCTTTAAAATAGGAGCCGAAATCGCTGATGTCGTTACCGCGGCGAACCCCAAGCCGGTTAAGCTGAAATTTGAAAAAGTCATGATGCCTTGCATACTACAGGTACAAATGATGTTTTAATTGATACAATGTCGATCATTCGTAATGAGGAGGCATTTTTTTTAGACGAAAAAGAGATATTGTGGCTACATGTACGAGAATCTAAATGATGAGCCGGTTTATTTGGCCAAGGGCATCGAAACTGTGCGACGAGATGGATGTCCAGCTGGAGCAAAGGTTAATCGGAATTGATGATGTCGGTTGTTTAATCATTTTTGTGGGTATTTATTGCGACTCATTTTTTTTGCAGATTCTAGAAAAGTCTCTAAGAATACTCTTTGACACGAAGGATTTGTCAAAAGTAAAGGAATACGTGACGAGACAGCTCGACAAAATCCTTACTGGAAGGGCGTCGATTCAGGACCTAACTTTCGCCAAAGAATTTCGCGGCTTGAGGGGCTACAAGGCCGCGGCATGCGTACCCGCATTGGAGCTCACGAAAAGGCTCATGCAAAAGGATCCGTGTGCTGTGCCAAGAAGAGGCTCTAGAGTCCCGTATATTATTGTTGCAGGTGGACCAAATGAGCCTCTAATTCGATGCGTCAGATCGCCAATGGAAGTGATTCAGGATCCAGGCTTAAGACCTAATGCCGTTTATTACATCACAAAAGTCGTAATTCCGCCTCTCAACAGGTGTCTGAATTTAATTGGAGTTGACGCTTATGCATGGTAAGTATTTTGAGTTTGAAACTAATCATTGATAAAATAAGAAAGGCTGGACTTACACTTTTATTTACATTTATTTATAAAAATTATAGTAAGTTTAAATACATTACTTCCAAAGTATGATAACATTAACGTAATTAAAACTATGATTTTTACAATTAGTTATATTTTCCAAATCGAATTATTAAACTGTTTAAATAGGTATATGGAAATGCCTCATCGTCAAGCGCTCAACCGATTACAAGGTGTGCCTTTAGTCAACAGCAATCGCAAGCAAAGAACAACAATATCTCAATACTTGTGCAATACAATGTGTCCATCGTGCGGGCAATCGTGTGACAGAGGTATTTGTGCAGATTGTATAAAAAACCAAACTCTCACGCTTGTTATTTTGTATGAAAAATGCAGACAGTATGAAAGAATCCATTCAAATATCAAAAAGGTATACAAATCTATATATAAATTTATACTTAGAAGTAGATAACCAAAGTTTGTTAAATTATTAAATTACTTCATGATAATGCAAGTATATGTTTCAGATGTGTGAATCGTGTATTGGTGTAATGGACGCCGATAGTTGTACTTCTCTCGATTGTCCAATATTTTATCGCAGAATGCAGGCACAAAGAGACAGTACACAAATTTCACATATTTATGATGTAATTCAATGCATGGAACATTTAAATTGATGCATTCATGTTATTATGAAAAGTTATTTTTTTAGTACAAAATTGTTACCATTCAATGCAAATCAGATCCATTATTTTCGGATTTTTAAATAATTTACACATGTACATTATTGTAAATACTGTTATTATATCAAAAACTTATTTTTTTTATAGAACATACTTTTTTATACAAATGTTTTGTCAACTGTCTTGATGAAACCTCAAAAATAGATTTTTATGTATAAAACAATTTTTGTAGTTGTACTATACATATATGAACTTTAATTTTTGATAGTTGATTCAATTCCATTTTTATATTTTTGTACACGTGGGCTGAAGTAGCAATAAATATGTTTTTTTTTTAATTTTTAAATTAGATGAAGTATGATTCACCTGAAAAAAAAAAAAGAAAAACAATATTACCTAATGTTGTATTAATAATTAATGAATTTTGACACAGTTCATATGAGCTATTCACAAAAGTCAAAACAAGGGTGTTTAACTAACTCATAATTGTAATTTTAGAGGAATAATAATTCTTTAAATAATAAATTCATTATAGTTCTAAGCACTTGTTTTAAAACCTTATTTATAAAACCTACCAAAAACAACAAATTGCTGCAAAAAGCTGTATTTTCTCTAATGAATATTTAATATACTTAGTTAAATGTAAATGTACATGATTGTGTACATTCATTTCTTAATTTTTTTTTTAGAATATCACCCAAGTACCTACATCATGAATACTGTTTAAAAATGAACCAAACTTACACAATTGATTCCTCCTATCAACCAATAAATAAAAGGCTTAGTGATAACAAGACGAATTATTATTTCTTTGAACAGCTCTATAAATAGGCACAGATCATGAATCTCAAACAAAAAACTCAAGGCCAGTAGATACTTGGACAGTGTCAACGCACAGGTTTAAATAATTAAATACCCACATGCCAAAGAAAACAACGACACTTACATGGTGATCTGTCAACAAACTCAAATGATTGAACAACCGTGGGGGGCAACGAGGAGCATCACCTTCCCTCAGAGAATCGAGCACGAGCTTTTCTCGCGGAACGGATTGGACTTTTGCGAGGAGAAGCCGACGAGGAGACAGTCCTCCTGCTCGTGCTCCATTATATACTTGATAAGGTCCTCGATGGCCTTGCTGACGTTCATGCGCTTTATCGCGGCCTCGTGACGCAGCTGCTCGTTAATCTGGCGCTGCTGCTGGAGATTCGACATTATCATGTCCATGATCGACGAGACTAGGTTTTCTTCCTGGGCGTGGTCTCCGCCTTCTCTCCGTGTACTGATGCGTTGTCGACGTTATCGTTCGATCGGACCTCTTACGATTTCTTGGTGGGTGTCAATGTACAACACAGTAGTAAGTATGTAATACGACAGAAAAGAAAACACCAAAGATAAAACGAAAGCCAATCAATCCTAGTAGAAGTAGAACGTTTCTTTTGACCTCGACGTCCTTGTAGTATAGTTAATAATGGGGTGTGCACTACTCTCTAGCTCTCACTCTCACGAGCTTTGAACCCTCCTTCTGTATATGCGATGGAAATTGAAGCTTTTTTTTATGAAAAGCTTGGCAGATTATAATAACTAAAACATCGATGTAACAATACTACCGCAACTTAATACTTCTTATTACTTACTATATGTGAACAAGCCCTTGTGCCAGTGGCGCGTCATCGATCATTACACAAACAAGGTACTGGGCATTCACAGAATCCTACATCACCTGGACATCATCAGTGAGTAACAACATCGCGAGTGAAGTTTTTTTTTTTTTTTTTTTTTTTTTTTTTTTTTTTTTTTTTTTTTTTT